ACACTATCACAGGTAGCACCAAAGTGTCGATGATATCTTTAAACATCTAGACCGGAAGAGTAGAACCCTCAATGTAGATAGAGAAGGATACTTTTTTTTTTTTTGAAAGACCTTTCAGAGACCAGAAGACCAGGGCAAGAAAAGTTATCTTTTTATATCTAACCCTGACTTGAATGGTTAAAACCTTGTCAGTTGATTTCCCCCTCTGATGGGTGTTAGGCCTGAGATGGTTGTCAACATATTCTGTACTTTTTTGTTTGTTTATGTTGGGGTTATCTCAGATGTGTTATGTCATTGGGGTTTATCCTCTTGAATTTGCGTTACATGTTTTTCTGTTTTCCAGTATATGAAACCCAGGATTGAGGAGCCAATAGGGACAACAAATAAAGTAAGGGTTTGGGGGTGGGGGTGCAGTAGGGGGATGTTAAAAAGGAGCTGATGTCAAGGAGTTCAGGAAGGAAAACAATGTTTTGAACCCAATTGTGGTAACAATTGTACAAGACTGCTTGATGTGATTGAACTGTGGAACATGATATCTGTATTAACTCCCAATAAATTGGTTTTGGGGGGAAAAGTAATATAATGATAACTGTACTCACATAAGGTTTTTCTGTGATAGAAAGAAATAAATATTTCTGGCATAAAGAAATAAAAATGCTGATATGACAGTTTTGATTTTCTCAAAAGTCCAATATGAGTGCAATGATCAGTTCTTAGTTTTCTAAAATGTTGTGACTTAGCCAAAAACTTAAGTATCCTAAAAGATGAATTAAACTAAACATAAAACCCTACCCAATAAAGCATACTTAACTAGGTTATGGGTTCTAATTATATGTATAGAAAAATAGGTCTCATAGCTTAATTATAGTTTTGTAAAAATTAGCCTATATGCATTTAAAAAGTCCCTAGAAACACACTTCAAATGTTCATGTGGTAGTTGTTGAGGGGTGGGATGATGGCTACAGTGTATATTTCTTTCATAATCAGGATATAAAAATTGAAAATATTTAGGAAGTTAGACAATAAGTGCTGGTTGGAAGAGAAAGAGATGTAGGTTGATTTTATTTTGCACCAGATCATTCTACACATCATCAGTTTGACTGAATGCAGGGCACTTTGCTGGGATGACATGGAAAAACAAGATGAGCAAACAAAATTCATGGCCTCAAAAAGCTCACAACCTAGGGGGAGTGGTAAAATACATACTCCAAGAACTAACTTCAAGGCAGTTTCAAAGTATTCTAATACTAATCGTGAACACAGAATGGCAGAAGAGCAAGGGAAAGAGAAATTGCTCTAGCTGTAGGGATCACGAAAGGCCAGAGGACATGGTCTTTCTGCTTTGCTTTGAAGAAAGTGGAGGCTTTGCCAAGATAAGACTGTAAGGGAGGGAAAGGGGCTAGCTTATACTGAGTATCACTCTTTTCCAGGTATAGAGAAGTACTTAAACATATGAATAAATGTAATGCTTATATCCATCCTACATGGGAGGTCCTCATACAACTGGGCTATACAAACCAGAAGTTTATTGAAATTTGCTCAAACTCATACATCTAATGGGAAATAGAACCAAAACTTGAAACCAGCCCAGCATTCCTGATTATTTTGCTATACTGCCTCCAGAAAAACATTTTTTTTAAAAAAAAAACAACCGAACCAAAGTGGTTAAAAATCAAAAAGAACCCGGAAGGAAAAACAAAAACGCCCCCCAAGCCTTCCGAAAAGGGAACGGTTTAAGGAACAAAAAAACTCAACCTCCCCCCCCTGAAGTGGGGGGGAATTGAAACCGGCAAGTAAAAAAACAATAAAACGAACAAAAAAACGAAACCCCAATGCCAACAAGAACCAAGTGTACTGCCCCTCTAGGCAAAGGAAAAATGCTGAGGCTTAGAAACGGTGGTAAATAATAAAGTCATGGAAAGAGAAGGAATCTTATACTGAAGGACCTCCAAGATTCATCTCGGTTATGTTACAGTAATTTATACTATTTCTTTTTCCATGAAGTCATCCTTATTGCATCTATTTTTAGGGTCATAAAACTAAGGTTTAAATAGTGCACACATCTATTAAGTAGAAGGACAAAAATTTAAACCCAGCTCTGAGTCCAATGGCAGGGTAAGTCAGACATATGGCTTTACATGTACTATATAATACCCAACACAGCCCTGTTAATTTACTTTCCTCATTTTTAAATTTTGCATAAGAAAATTAAAAAGCAGATAAAGTTAAGTTCTCTAAGGTCAAAGAAGGGAAACCAAAATTTGGCCCCAGGCAGCCTGACTTCAGAACTAGAGTTTTTATTCTCACTCTTGGATAAACTACCAGAAGGCGAGTAAATGAGGCCCAAATCATGGGTGATCTCAGTCATGCAAACTCATTGAAATTGTTTACTATAGGGACTCACAGCCAAATTATATTTGAGAAAGAAAGCCCCTCAAGAGACATACCAAAAGTAGATTCCTGGAATTAAATGCTTAATAAGACACAGAGAGCTTATCTGTAAAGCTTTTCAAATCAGCTTCAGAATGGTTTCCGTTAGGTAGATTTAAATTGCCTAAGGTCAGCTAGGCAAGCACTCACTCCAGTGCAGCTATTCAGCAAGTACTCACCATCTCCTGACAGGTTCCAGCAAGGTGCCATACTATCCTGTTTAGCATAACGGGCATTAAATGTAGCCAGTAGTATATATTGTCTTTGTTATCTAGGGCTGCTGGAACAGAAATACTGAAATAGATGGCTTTAAATAGATTTATTCTTCACAATTCAGGAGGGAAGAAGTCCAAATTCAGGTTGCCAGCTGCAAGAGAAGACCTGCTCTCTCTACTGAGTCGAA